GGGAGAGCGAGGCGGGGGAGGGGGAGAGGTTCGATTAACTTCTCCAAAGCAGGGATCCTATTTGCGGCTTCTGTTTTTTGCAAACATTTTTATTATTTTGAACTACTTAGCTCCTCACTGTTATTTTCATTTCGCTGTGAAAAATTTCAAACGCACAGAAAGTTGAAAGAATTAAACAGTTTGTCCCCACAGACCGTCTCTGGGTGCCACAGCCGACGCGGCCTCGTCTGCTCTGCCAGACGCGTGCCCGTCACGCCGCCCTCTGCCACCCGTCCGACTTTGTGACGCGTCTCAGCGTGAGTTACACACAGCGGCGCACTTCACCGAACACCTCGTGTCGTTAACCGGAGTGCGAGGTTTATGTCCCAGGATGTGCTCTCCTGCTCCGCCCCGGTCAGCTTCACCCCAACCCGCCGGAAGCAGTCCCCGGTCTGCCTTTCTCAGACCCCGAGTGACTTCCGCGTGTCTCCGGGCCTTGTCCGCGTGGACTCTGTGTCTGGCCTCCTGCCAGGCAACGGCTCGGGGGCTCATTCTCAGTCACGCGTCAGCGATGCGGGCCCCTGGCTGCTGACTTGCACCCCACGGTCTTGCTTCTCCAGTCCCCTGTTGATGGACACAAGGGGGACACCAGTTCTCTCGGTGGTGACAAGCGTGGCGTGAAGGTGCCCCGCCTTCGAGCCTGCACGCAGGAGTGGGGGCTGTCGCCAGGCTGTGGGGTAGCTCGGCCTTCAGGGACTCTGCCTTCCACTGAGCTGCAATCCGCCTCCCCAGCACCCCGGCTCCTTGGTCCAGCCTTTGGGGCAGCGTACAGCAAACTCGTCCACAGCCTCCCCCCAACCCCCAGCACGTCCTCGCTGGCGGTCCCCAGGCTCCCGAGGGTCCCTGGGTGATGTCCTCGGTTGAAACCATCGAGAAGGGAATGCCCCCTTTAGATTCAGCAGCCTGGGCCACCGCTTCTCCCGGAGGGACTCCCCGACAGCCCGGGGAACGGCTCTGTCTTGGGCGATGGCCGTCCCGGCAGAACCGCACTGGTCATCGGCCGGCCTGAGACAGCGGCGAGGGTGGCAGCGTCGGGGAAGCCACGCAGAGGCAGCGCTGAGGGCAGGGGGCTCGCTCTGCGAGCGGTCACTAAACTTCCGTGGGCGTGTACACCGGGGGCCACGTCCAGCCCTGTGGGGCGCGGCTGCGTCACTGACCCACAGGGACGCGGTGGGATGGTGACAATTAGAGCGGAAGGCGTTCCGAGAGCCTCAGCAGAGAACTGATTTTCCAGATGGTTTTCAGCAGCGGGAAGGGTGCCGCAGGGGATAGATCTGCAGACGAGGGCGGGCGGGACGGGGCCACTCACGATGGGCAGCAGCTCGCGGGCGCACACACGGGGCTGGCGGCTCGGGCGTGCCGCGGACAGGCTGCAGGAGGCGGCCCGGCCTCAGCCCACCGGGCGACGTGGGGATGGGCAGCTGCAGCCCAGCCGGCTGGAGGCGTCTGAGCCACATAGGGGCCGGCACAGCAGGGCCGCGCAGCCCGGGGGAGGAGAGCAGGTGGGGTGCGGGCCAGGGGACCGGCAGGGCAGCCGGTGTGGCCCACGGCGTGGGCTGGAGGGGGGTTGGGGTGGAGGACGAGGCTGGCCTGTGGGCCCTGCCCCGGTGGCCGTTATGCGCGGCTGTGGCATCACGACTCTTGCGTCCCCCACGTTCCTGACACACAATCGCCCTGTTCGCACCTGTCGTGCTGGGCACTTTGCTCCGGCTCTGACACCTGTCACCTCTGCCCGTCTCTCTGGCAGGAGCGGGACCTGGTTCCCTGTTTTCATGTCAGTTCTGTGCTCGGCCTTGCGAGCAGGTTGTCGTGTGGACGGCGCTGTTGACTTGACTCAAACCCTGCTCTCTGGGGAGGGGCTGCTGGGCTCACGCAGGCGTCCGCCTTCACGGGAAGAACGGCAGAAACGCGTGAAGACAGGGCGGAGGGACGAGCTGCATCAGGACGGCACGGTTTATTTGCCTCACACGGGGTGAGGGTTCCTGCTGGCCACAGAGGAGGACCCTGAGAACCAGGGCTTCTCTGAGGGACATGGGGCCACAAGAGACCCAGGTCACCTGCCACGCTCTTACCCTGGAGTTCAGAGGGCTCACTGAATGTGCTTTTCATCTGGCACGTGCAGGATCTGGAGGCCGCCGAGGACCCGTTGTGGGAGAGGCACAGGGCGGCCCCGTCTGCGCTGGGAGCAGCTGGTCAGCAGTGGGAAGGGGTGCCATGGGAGATGGGTCTGCAGGCCGGGGTGGGGCAGGAGGGCTGGATGCACCCGGAGGACTGGCGAGAGGGGACCACGCACACGGCGGGCGTGCAGCTCCCGGGCGGGCAGCAGGACGCCTGGCAGGGGCTGGACGAGCAGTGGGCGGCCTGGCGGCCGGCAGCCGGCGGAGCAGCTGGGGTGGCACATGGTGGTGTGGGGCCGGCTGGTGTGGGGGCGGAGGGCGGTGACGTCTGCGGGCTGCTTCCCCGGCGGCCTTTATACCCGGGCCGAGGGCGGCCCGGATGCACGGAGCGCAGCTGCTGACTTCCTCGTGGCCGTTCCCACCAAGTTTCCTAGCATCTCCGTACCCCGGGACGTGCTCTGCTATGTTGGGGTCCACCACGGATAAGCTTGGTGCAGACGCCGGGCTCCCCGCCTGCAGACAGGACGTTCTGGTTTGACTCCAGCTCGTGGGGTTTCTCCAGGCCGCTACTCAGCGCAGAGCGCCCCGGCTCGACTCAGATGCTGTGTCCTGTGAGTCTTTTTTGTCTCACGCCATCAGTGAAGACTTGGAGGCAATAGGGTCCTTGGAGCTTTCGCTCCGCAAAGGGGACACTTAGCAGGAGTCTGCACCCTGAGGTCCGTGGTGCCGAGCTGGCCGCCGCCTGGTCGCCCGGAAAGCTTTAGCGGACGCAGCCACGTTTACGCGTCTGCCGTTGCCCGGCGTTGCTTTGCACGGAATTCTGAGTCGTTACCGGAGAGAGCACGTGACAGCAAAGCCTGAAACGCTTACTATCTGCCCTTTACAGAAAGTTCTAGAATCTATCCAAGAATCGAGGCGTCCCGGCCCCGTGAGCCTTCCACGAGGAGGATGGGGAAATCAGTGAAGGAACTCCAGAGACGGCTGCGTCCCAGAAAGAAAAACAGCTTCGGCAGATGCAGGGGGCGGGGTGCTGGGGGTGGGCGGGGGGTGATGCCGAACCGGCCCCGGAGTGGGGATGAGGGGTCGGGGGCGGTGTTCCAGGCAGAGGCACCGTGAATGTGAGGACACAGCTGCAGAATCGGGCCCCAGGGGCTCTGGGGCGCCAGGGTGCAGGCACGTGGGGACAGATCCCGATGATGCCACCGAGGGCCGGCATCTCAGCCCGAGCTGAGGACAGAATAAAGAGTCGGCGAACTTGAAGACACAGTAGTGACATTATCCAGTCTGAAGAAGAGGGAAAAACAATGCAAAAATAAGGAGAGCCTCCGAGACAACATCGAGGAGACTGATACACAAGAACTTTCCCCCCGAGGAGAATAGGGTGACGTTGAAAAGAAAGACTGACATTGAAGAAATAACGGGGGAAAACGTCTCAAATGCAATTGAAAGGGGGTCTAACTTCAGATGGAAGAGCCTGGAACCGCCCGAGGCGCTGGCACAACGCGGAGGCACCGGCCGCGGTCCCCGTGCGGGGCCGGCTCGCTCCTCCCCCGGTGGCCGCGAGATGCCCACAGTCCTGCAGCCCGCCCCGGCCTGACGTCTGCGCACGTGGCGTCACGTGCCCCTTGGGTGGTGGCTGCACCGATAAACAGTCCTGAGACCGTCCATGTAAAATGCTCACACAGTGCCTGGTGCCGAGCGGGGTGCGTGATCGTTGGCGTCACAGTGACGTGGTCCCCGTGTCCCCACAGTGGGGTGCTGGGTTTGGGAGACCTGGATCATCCAGTTCTCAAATCAAAGTGGGGGACCCCCAGTGTGGCAAACGTGACAGGGGATAGGGTGTTTAAAATCGGGGAGGGCCTTGAAAATCATGACGGGTCCCTGTCCCCGACTGACGGCCCTTCATCACCCAACCTGGTTCTTCCCACGGTGACCTCCCTGGGAAGCAACTCCCTCAACCGAGTCACCCCTGCCAGGCAGAGGAGGACGCCCAGCCAGGCAGCCGTGAGGAAGGCACCGTGTGGCACGTTGCCAGGATTCCGAAGCCGCGTATAAAGGCCACCGGGGCAGGGCCCAAAGGCCAGCCTTGTCCTCCACCCCAACCCCCCTCCAGCCCACGCCGTGGGCCACACCGGCTGCCCTGCCGGTCCCCTGGCCTGCACCCCACCTACTGTCGTCCCCCGAGCTGTGTGGCTCAGCCGCCTCCAGCCGGCCGGGCTGCAGCTGCCCGTCCCCACGTTGCCGGGCGGCCCACGGTGTGCCCCTGAGCCGCCAGCCCCGTGTGTGTGCCCACGAGCTGCAGGCCCATCGTGTGCGTGGTCCCCTCCCGCCCGCCCCTGTCTGCAGACCTGTCCCCTGTGGCACCCCTTCCTGCTACTGAGCCTGTGGCCTCCCAGGACGGCTCCTTGTAGGGTCAGAAGCAGCCAACTGGACGAACTCCCAAACTCCCACGAGACGGTGCTGACACCGTCCACGTTAGATCTTCCAGACCCGACCAGACCACCCTGCGGCAAGGCCACCGGGTCCCAGCCAACCAGTGTCCCTGGGTCATCCCACGCTGCTGGCTGCCACGGCCAGCGTTGAAGGCCTAATAAACGTTAGGGCGCGATGCTCACCGGGTGTGATGACGTCTCTCCATCCCTTGTCTTTCCCCAAACTGCTCCTCCAGGGCTGGTGTCCCAAGGGTTCTGGAAAGTTCCTTCTGCAGACGGCCCGGGTTACCATGGCGTGCCGGGAACTGACTGCTCTAAGGCCGCCTCTGGAGTGAGGGGCGCGCACCCCAGGGCCCCCTCCGCCCCATGGTGCCCCCGGAACTAGTGCGGTCAGTTCTGGGCTTGCTCTGGGGGTTGAGGGCAAATCGCTCACTTTCTGACCCGGCCCTTTTAGGCAGAAGGTCTCGCACCTCAGTCTAGCGTTAAAACCGTCGCCTGCAGAAAGCATGGGTCCCCCTCCCACCAGGGGTCCAGCTGGCGGTCCTGGTGGGCAGCTTCTGTGGTCCCCAGCGACGGCCACGCCCTAACCCCAGAACCCGCGAGTGCGTCCCACACGGACAAAGCGGCGTTGCGGACGGGAGGGAGTCAGGGATCTGGCCATGGACAGTGAGCCCCGGTCATCCAGGGGCCGGATGTCATCACAGGCACTTATGAGAGGGGACGGGGGGGACTTGGCTACTGAAGAGGAGGCCCCAGGAAGGCAGCAGCAAGGTGCCAGGCTGCGGGCTCGGAGCCTCCAGCACCTGACAGGGACGGCCGGCCGAGACCCGCGTCCGAGTCTGGCCTTCACTCCGTGAGTTCGTGGGCATCTGTTACGGCCGCAGGCAGATGCGGCTTCTGTCATGCAGCTTCCAAAGTCCCCTTCCGCCACGTGCCTCTGACAGCAGCATGACCGTGGGCGGGGGGCAGGGAGGAGGTGGTGGCCATGGCAGCCGCCCGGCTGTGGGACTTGGGGCCCGTGTCCCCCTGGGGGCTCTTCCTGCCTAGCCCCCCGCCTGCGCCCCCAGCCAGGGGAGCAGGCCCCACTCCGGCGGGCCCCTTCCCCGTGCAGGCGCTCAGAGGCGGGGCTTCCTTCTGCCCAGGACGATCCTGCTCTGGGCCCTGGCCCGGCCTGGGCACACGCCGTCCTCTCCCCCGAGGGTCCGCTGGACCATGTAGCTCTCAGGCAGCATCGCCCGGAGGCCTCCCACCCATGGAGCAGGCAGCACAGACTCTGGTTGTGAGCGCACAGCACAGAGGACCCCAGCCATGCGGTCCTGCAGGGCCCTGGCCCACAGACCCTGGCTTGCAGAGTTTCCGCTGCGCCCCAGCCCCCTTCAACCCGGGCGGGCAGGGGGACAGCGCGGGCAGGAGCCCAGGTCCACTCAGGATCCAGGCCTCCTGCATGGTGCCCGCATCCTGGGCCCAGCCCCGGAGGGCTGTCCCCTGCAAGGGGGTGAGCCCCTGGGGCCGGGGAGGGAAACGGCGTGCACATGGCATCCGCCCTCAGACCTGGTCTCTCGGCTGCCCTGGCTCGGGTTTGAGCGTAAGTGTCTGTTGTCTGGCTCCGGCCTGACGGAGCAAACACGGCCCAGGTCCGGAGTGGCGGCCGGGCTCAGGGGGGGGGAAGAAAACA